TTGATTTCTTGGATTCCAGCAGAGCTCAAGTGATTCTAACTACTTGGATTTCCCAATTAAGCAAGCCAACAGGATATCCTATATATTTGTTTGTTTATTTTCACTGTGATTGTTAGGGTTGGTTTTCTGACTCATTCACCCAAATAATTCACAAAGGTATTATTATCTCTATTCTAGCTTCAAAGTTACACAGGTAGTAAGTGGTACAGCTGGGATTTGAATCCAGCCCTACCTGTATGTTAGGCCCATAGATTTTTCAATATTCCATGTCACCTCTTATTCATTAGTTCAGACATTAAGTCATTCATATGAAGTGTCTGTGTTACGCCAGGCACTGTGCCAGGGCCGTAGAGACACGTGACAGAGTTCTAATATTAGGTTTTGTGTGATTTGTGATTTAACAATGACACATTGTTAAACTGTGCATTTTAACAATGAAAGTTAATAATGAATAGATAATAAAATCGTTTCACCCACTGAATTATGGTCCAGTCTGATTTTTTCCTTATCCTGGTCTCACTATGGTTATGAAAGGCTACTTAATTGTAGTGTGCTGACTGATAGGAAATAATACATTGGGAGACAAGGACAGAGATTCTTCAAAACCACTGCCACTGTCCTAGTTATCACTTTTAGTAGAGCTCATTTGGTTGTTACGTGAGTCTTTTTACTCTTTCATTTACTTACCGAGTATTTGTAAAGCATATGGTAGGAAGTGTTAGCCCTCTGGTAGGATTAGGAAACTCACAAAGAGTAACACCTAGAACCTTCCCTCAAGAAGTTAGCAGCTGGCATGAAATAGACACATAAAATTAGAACTCAATATGGTCTGTGCAATGGTGAAGGTATTCGCTGAGATACTGAGAAATACAGAGGAAGACCGTTTAGCACACCTGGTAGTGCGGGCTGATGTACTGAAGGCAGACTTATATCTGTGATATCTGATTTAATCAACTTCTCATTAGTAACTAGTTGATCTCATCGAACAATGGCACCATCCTGAGGGCTCAGCTTCAGTTCTTATACTAAAAAGTTGTACCTGCAACAGCAGCCAGATCTAACGTAGTTGGGCTCACGTCTAGACTCCACGCCCATTACCGTGCCACATTATTCACAGGCCCATTCTGTTCATGCGGCAGGTGAGGATGGAGGCTGGCTGACCTCCCCTGGAGGCATCACCCCATCCACACAGGTGTTCAGTGCTGCCTCCTCCGCAGATGTTCTCTTTTGGGAATTGATATGAGACACAGTGATCCACACACTTTGTGTTTCTGGCATAAGTTCATTCAGGTGTTACTTCTCCCAACCTCTTCTGATCTTATAATCTTTCTATCTTGTTCCTTTCAGACTCTGATAAACCAATCTAGTAACTTGTGATTACTCAGGGATTTATGAATATTCTTACGTAAGGTCACTTCTCCTTCCAGACTGAGCTCATGACTACTTATCGTCACTGTCAACATGAAATGCACCACTGGATGCTTCCTTACTGGAAGTATTACTCCCTCTATGGTCTTTACTGGAAGCATTTCTCTCTGTGAGGCTATAGTACAGTAGCAATTTATTTTTAGTGAGTTAGTCATGAATTTTTTCCTCCTTTTCAGTGGAAAGGAGCAGAATATGCCACTCCAAAATATGCCACTTTTATATAAAACATTTTGAACCGAAGGCAGTTGAGAAGAAACAGAGACAAGAAAAGTTCTCTGCCCTCTCCCTATTTGCCTAAAAACAGGCCATGAATTTGCGAAGGTGTCTTTCCTTCCCTCTCTATCAGGAAGGACAGGAGCTAATCACCAGAGACAGCTCTGGACCCTTCTCAGCCCAGAGATGCCACCGGAGGACTTTATATAATGAATTTTACTAACTAGTCTTTAACTTCCATTGGTTTCCCAATATATCTACCTTCCTTAGAAGCTCAAAGTCCTTTTCCTTTGTCTTGTCACTTGTTAAAAATTTATTGTTCTTTTGTTAAGATACTATATAAGCCCAACTTTGAGTCACTCATCACTGAGTGCTACCATACTGTGTAGGCAAGATGCACATGTTAATAAACTTGGCTTTTCTCTTGTTAATCTATTTCTTGTCAGTCTAACTTTTGAGCCCCAGCTAGAGAACTTAGGCAGATAGAGGAAAAATGCTTTCCTTTTTCCTGTATATTAGCCATAGAGAACATCACAGGGCTGTAAGTATAATCTGGGGGAGAGGAATCAGTGTGAAAGGTGAAGGTTACATAGCAGTCTTGGCCTCCTACTCAAGTCACATGTACTCTCTAGACCAGCTTGGGTCTGCTCTTGAAGGTACCATTGCCATCATGTGTGTTCTCAGGAAGCAAATAGTTGTGCGCTACAGAATCCTGCAGTCCTGGGGGTCTGCTCTGTGACTCTCTTTTGGGGTTTTGCTTATAGTTTTAACCTGCCAGAAAATTCTCTCTCTGGATCAGGACCCTATTTAAATCTAGCAGCCTTGTAAATTCATTCAATAAGTAGGTCAGAGTGATACCTGCTATCACAAAAATTTCAAAGATGGTTGTGCTTATTTTCTTCGTGTTGGGAGGTAGAAGATACAGTAGCATGTCCTTCACCTGGGAGGGCACCTTTGGTATGCCATAGACGATTGTAGCCCATTGTGTCATATTCAGTGAACATGACCATATTCAGTAAATATGGAAGAAAAGATAACTGGTAGTACTAACAGCATTAATTAACTAATTCTTCTTCCCCACTTAATTAAACCATCATCTTTTTTTTTCAGAATTTCCTTCCTTTTATTTATTTATTTTTTAAATTTTATTCATTATGCCATTACAGTTGTTCTATTCCCCCTTCATTCCCCTCCACTCTGCACCCCCCACCCCCATGATTCCCCCCCTTTAGTTTATGACCATGTGTCTCAAGTTCTTTAATTCTATTTCCCAAACTATTCTTGCCCTCCCCCTATCTACCATCATCTTTACCTTAAATTAAATGATCTTTATGCACATGTAAATGTGTCCTTTGGACAATTGGAGTCATGTAAATGTCTCCAAGTGTCCAAAGAATGTAACTGAATGCAAGCAAGTAGCTGAATGATATGTTTATATTATTTTATTTATATAAATATATATTTAAATATAAAATATATGTGTAATAGCGATTTCTTCTGGGGAGGGCAATACAATACAAATAAAGGGAGATTTTCACTTTTTACCTTAAAATAATTAGTTAAAGCTAACATTTATTGTATGTTCTAGGCCTTGTTTTAAAGCTTTTCCTATATTATTTCACTCAGTCATCACAGCTCCATGAGGAAGACACGAGTGGCTAACAGCGTAGGCTCTTCCTGGTTATAGATATTCCAGAGTGTCACCTTTTAAGACTGTCACCTTAAAACAAGTTACTTAAATCTTCTGTGCCTCAGTTTCCTCCTCTGTAAAATGGAAATAAAAGTGGTACTTAAGTAATGGGGATGTTGTAAGGATTAATGGAGATTAAGTATAAACTTTTTAGAGTAGCCCTTGACACATGGTAAGCTCTCATAAAATTATCACCATCATCATCATTATCTCCATTTTACTGATGAGGAAGATGAAGCACAGATGTTTTAAGTAACATGTTAGTCTGATGCCAAAACTTGTGCTTTTCATTATTTAGTCAAACCAACCGCCTTCTCAATTTTTTTGCATTATTGAATTTTTTATAAGCATGCTTATGAATGCATGTTACTTATGTAACTTGGAGAAACTAAAAATGTGATAAGAAATGTGAATGGAAAATCAGTAATTTCCTACCAGATGAAGAGAGAATTTTTTAACCATCATCGATGCAATTTTTAGGGGAGATCCTTGTAGTGTTTTTTAAACAACTTTATTTAAATATAATTTACATGACATAAAATTTACCTGTTAATGGTAGTTGGTTTTTTAGAAACAGAAAAGTCTTAGAGAGTTTTGTTTTAGCTCATGGGAGAATTTTCAAATTCACTCTGGTATTTAGTTCAGTGTCCAGTAATTTGGGTCAATTCACCCCACTCATAACTGTTAAGCACCTGCAGGGCAGCAGGTCTTGGGGGCCACTACAATGTGTGTGGAAAGTCTCCTCTCTTCCCCTTAGGCTTAATAGCTGGTGTTTTTTTTTTAATTTGCATTAGATTATTTTTGGACTTTCTTTTCTCTTGATGTAAATCATGATTCAATTAGACATCATGCCACTACTATTTTGGGGTTGACATTTGGTAATAAATGTGATACTTTTGCAATCAGGATTTTCTTTTGCCTACTTCTTTTTTTAAAAATAAAGTTACTTTCATTTGTGGTGAAGGAAAGACTTCTCTAATTTTATTATATCCTTTGGAAGTAATTCTAACATCATGGCTTATCCTGGCCATCGTAGTCTGAAAATTTCCCAAGGCATTTTCACAGTCACCAAGATTACCCTTGGTTAGTATGAAACTGCACCAGTTCTCTTTTATTACTGGATTTCCCACAGCTGATGTCTAGTCCTCATCACAGTCTGGGCTGAGCTGACATTATACCTCCATGTGCTACAGGCAGAGTTATTTTGTGTGAGGGATAACCTTTTTCCTTATGGACCTGAGTTACTTCCAAATCAACTTAATAATTATTTATGTCCCAGCAACTTGAAATCTATCTGAAAAAAGAATACACAGAAATGGAAAGAAAAAATAATATTTTTATTTCATTCTTAAATAACCATGACTTCTTACTAGTGGAATGTGTGTACCTGCTGGAAACTGCACAACATCTTGATTTTTGGAATAAGGTCAATCCACATTGATTTTTATATGGTACTTGTCTTTTTTTTAATCACAGCAACTGTGGAAAACCCAGTTTTGCAAAGTTTGATGACATGTAAAGGAACATAGCGTGATCTCGTAGTGAGGAGCTACTGCGTTGTGTGGTGTCCTACAAATGTCAAGTGTCACTGCATTTCCCTTGGAAATTTAAAGTGTCCTGGGAGCTCACTTGCGCACCATGAGGTATGTCAGTGTGAAGTTCAGAAACCATGGGGCTGAGAGAATTTAAGGACATAAAGGTTAGAGGGATGAATGTACTGGTGAGTGCAGTGCCTGGCTAGTAGGTGTAGCTACAGACACATGCTTATTGAAGGAAGGAGAGAAAAAACATTTGGCCTAGGACTTGATCCAGCGATTAGTCCTCTTGGAAATAAATTTTTGTCAATATGCTGAAACCAAATCCTCTCTGGACCCCTTCTGTACCCTTGCACTGACACCTGCCCTACTATAGTCTCTCTTAGACACACACACACACACACACACACACACACACACACACACACGGCAGGTAGTACATTGTAAAAACCTAGGAATTCTGGTCAGGATATCAAGCATGCTGGTTCCAATGATCTGTGGGGAAAATCCTGATTTTATAGTTTTAACTAATATAAATAAATAAATAACAAGACAATGTAAGTGAACACCATGGAGTTTAAAGAAAACACACTTTTAAGTTAGGTTTCACCTGTGGACCACCCCTTTCTGACCCTGAAACCAGCCCAACCTCTTTACCTCTGGTTGACAGAGACAGGAGCATACCTGGGGTATGTGGCCCAGGGAACGAGTCATTTTTTTCATACCCTTTCTCTTTTCAGTCACAATCAGGAAATGAAATGAATAAGAATACTGACAGGAAAAGAAATGCAGAAAGCAAAACTTTTGCCTACTAAATATTCTATATATAATGATGTCAGGGAAACACACAAAAAATAAACAAATATTTGAGTACAAAAGGGAATATTGCACTAATGTTTAACTTATTCCCGTAAGTTTTTTTCATATCTCTCATATCATAATAGTAACCTATCATAATAGTGAAGAGCATTACAGGTTTTTTTGGTCAGAACTCCTTCATTGATCTTAGTATGTTTATGTTCATTTGTCAATCTACCTTTACTCATAGTGAATCAAAGAACATTTTCGTTAATTTTAATTTTGAAAACTTTCTTTCACATGGAGCAACCAATATACAAATAGCCAGGAAAAGTCTTAAACTTAAGAATAAGCTTGTCAGTGTCATGAAAAAAGAAGCTCATTTTATATCAGTTCCAGAAATCACAATATTATCCTTGTCTGTTTCATTGGGATTTAACATCTTTCATATGTCTCTACTGATACAAATTAAAAATACAAATTAAAACTCCAGGTGGTCACAGGAAATGACAGAATTGATGCAATTCAAATTCTGTTTTCTCTCTTTGTAATCTTACATTTATTTCGAACCTGCTGTTTAAATCCTGGAATTCGATGTACTACAGGGATTGGAGAAACAAACTGTGCTGAGGTGATCGTGACCCTTTACTACCTTACTTTCAAATGTATGTGTATACTTGAATCCTCATTTGTCCAAGGTTAGCTGTTTAGCTCAAAGTTCTCTGAATTAATTTCTAGGTGGGACACAATAGCTATTAAAATGAAAGTATAGCCTAAATTTTTAGCACACCAAAGGACGGTGCAAAGCCCAGGGGGGCGCCCAGACCGTAAAAGAAGCAAAACAGGCATTTGTCGCCATTGGGGACTACAGTGGACACATTGGTCTGGGTGTTAAGTGCTCAAAGGAAGTAGCCACTGCCATCCATGGGGCCATAATCTTGGCCAAGCTCTCCACTGTCCCTGTGCAGCGAGGCTACTGGGGGAACAAGATCGGCAAACCCCACACCGTCCCTTGTAAGGTAACTGGGCACTGTGGCTCTGTGCTGGTGCGCCTAATCCCTGCACCCAGGGGCACCGGCATTGTCTCAGCCCCTGTGCCCCAAAAGCTGCTGCTGATGGCTGGTATTGACGACTGCTACACTTCAGCCAGGGGCTGCACTGCTACCCTGGGCAACTTTGCCAAGGCCACCTTTGATGCCATCTCCAAGACCTACAGCTATCCCACCCCTGACCTCTGGAAAGAGACTGTGTTCACCAAGTCTCCCTACCAGGAATTCACCAACCATCTTGTAAAGACCCACACCAGAGTTTCTGTGCAGAGGACCCAGGCTCCAGCTGTGGCCACCACATAATTTTTTGTATGAGAAAAACAAAGTGAATTAAGCCTGTTAAAAAAAAAAAGAATAAAAATGTACTAATTTGAAGTATACATATGAGGTCCGTCCAGAAAAAGTCCAACCATTGTTAATATAATGAGAACCGTTTGGGCAACTTTGATGTAACCTGGCAGCCAAGGAGAGTGGACTGGAATGCACATGTGTGAACAATGACAACTTCACTGTACTAGTCAGTAGGGGCAGTAGACACTGTTGAGTGAGCATGTGTACTACGTGACTGTCACATTCAAAATGACTGAGCAAGTAGAACAATGAATCTGCATCATATTCTTCCAGGGAAACTATTTGGATAATTCAGCAGGCCTCAGCTATGGACAGCTGGTAGCTGGAAGCTTCATTATGATAATGCACCTGCTCATGCATCATGTCTCATGCAGAGTCTTTTTGCAAAACATCAAATCACCCAGGTGACTCAGCCCTGCTTGGTGCCCAGACTTGGTGCCCTGAGACTTCTGGCTTTTTCCAAAACTAAAATCACCTTTGAAAGGGAAGAGATTTCAGGCAGCCGATGAGAATTGGGAAAATATGACAGGGCAGCTGATGGCAATTGAGAGAACTGTGTGAGGTCCTAAGGTGTCTACTTTGAAAGGGACTGAGGTGTCATTGTCCCATGTGCAATGTTTCTTGTATCTTCTTCAATAAATGTCTCTATTTTTTATATTACTTGGCTAGATACTTTCTGGACAGGCCTTGTATATACTATTAAAATTCAACAGTAATTTGAGCATTTGTTTAGAACATAAACTAATACAAGATTTTTAGAGGAGGAATAGTTCATCGATGGTATTATTTAGAGTTGTTAACACATAGTGATAAATAAAAAGCAGACTGAGATTTAGTCAGTCCAGAAAGATGAAGCAAATCAGCCAAGAACATAGAGCTCATTAGCAGAAGAACAGAACTGGAACTCAGATTTCTTGTTGTTCAGGAGCGGGTACTGAGTGGGATCAGAGCAAGTCGCCCTGAATGAGCTTTCGTGGTATGTGGATTGTTTTGAGCTAAAGGCACTTTTAGTTTCAGGCTCAATAGAAACTCTGCCCCTCCCTTAAGTCCCTGGGATGAGCGTGAATCAGAGATAACTTCTTTTGACTTATCTTTATGGCAGGACAAACTTCTTTGTACTAACCATCCATTTTACTATAATTCCACAATGAAGTCCCCAGGCTGCATTACCTCAACCCCAGCTCAGAATGTGGATATAACTCAACCCCCCTTTCCAGCTTTGAACTTCTCATGCATGCAAGGGCCTCTAAACCTGTCATGTATGCAGGGTTCCCATACCTTTATGTGTGTTAAATTTGATGATTTTCTCTTGTTAATGATCTCCTGTCTATTTGATTATTAGACCAGCAAGACTCGAAAGGGAACAAAAAGTAATCATTAATTATTTTAATGTTATATTAATTATTAAGGTATTGTTTATTATGAACTAGACATTGTGCTAGTGCTTTATGTCAATTACCTCATTTCATTTTCACTGTAGTTCTGTAATTGTTATTCCCACTCTACAGATGAAAAAACAGACTTGTGATATGTGCGCCAGCAGAAAAGCACAGAAAGGGGAAAGCACACTGACAGCAGGACTGCCCAATGCTGTTCGCTTGCTGCTGCAGCCACTGACCACCCCTGCAACCCCCACCCAGCCAGCAAGTCACCCTTCCATTTTAGGATTCCAGGAATGCAGCCTGGGTTTGAGTTCTGGTTTCTACTTTGACAACCTATTAGTTTTTAGGCATATTATTTAAGTTGCATTGCTTGGTAAATAACATGAGAGGGTGGGACAGAGCGTTGTCCAGAGCTCTCCCAACAGTGAAGCATGAACCCCTTATAATGTGAGCATGTTGAGGACAGCAGCATGTGGGTGGATGTCTCGAGCTGCAGAAATGCTGTTTGTGTCTGGATCTTTCATACATAGCTGGGGAGACTTTGAAGCTGCTTGTCTCGGGTCAACGTGACCAACATAATGTAGGTGACCAACATAATGCAGCACAACACAATTGACGTGCCTTGTGCTGACTTCTCATTTTTTACATGGCATTCTCCTCACTCATGGCCATGACAGGTAGGCCGGAAATCCTGCCCTTTCTTCATAGGTTTCTTGAAGCCAATACTTTTCAGCATTTTGTTATTATCTATTTGAATATCTGTTTTCCCTATCCTGGAGGGGCAGAGCAGTACAATAGATTTCTGCAAAGAAAAGTCAATAGTTTAATACCTTTATAAATGAATAAGCTACAAATATATGTAATAAACATAGGCTGACATATGTAATGCTGCGTTCATTTTTCATCTCCTTCTCTCCTGCCTTGGAAAACTATCTTCATATTTCATTGTCCCATAGCCTCTATGTCCCCTCCTCTGATGTAGTTTTTGGAAGACCTGGGGTGTGAGGCAAATGCAAAGCCATTAATTACGACTTGGATGTTTGACTTACTATTTTTTGTATTTTGGAGTAACAATTCACTGAGGACTTGGAATTTGAAGAACAAGGTTTTAGCATTCTTCTGGCACTTATTTATGTTAAATTAAGCAAAATTCTTAACCTTTGTGAGCCTTACTTACAGCACTTGTTAGGTGAGAGTAATGACCCTACCCCGCAGGACCCTTCTGAGAAATAAACTCTTGGCATAGAGGACAGGAACAGAAAGTTCTTTCACAGGGACTATGGAAATAAAACCTAAATATCTCATAGGGAGATACATGCATCTTGAAGTTACAATAGTGTTTGTTTCAGATCTCTGGAATATTGTTTTGTATCATCAACATAAACATCAAAACCTGGAACAATTTTTATGAGTTTATTTGAACCAAACTGACAACAATTGCCAGGAAGCAAAATCCTCAACAGATTGAGAAAATGATCCACGAAATGGCAGTTATGCAACTTATTTTATTTACTACAACCAAAGGAGGAGGCAGAAAGGGGTTACATGAGCCCTGGCTGGTGTGGCTCAGTGGATTGAATGCTGGCCTGTGAACCAAAAGGTTGCTGGTTTGAATCCTGGTCAGGGTACATGCTTGAGTTGCAGGCCAGGTCCCCAGTAGGGGGTGCATGAGAGACAACCACACATTGATGTTTCTTTCCCTCTCTTTCTCCCTCCCTTCCTCTGTCTAAAAATAAATAAAATCTTTAGAAAAAAGATGGGGGATTACATGAAATTCACTGGTGATAGATTAGGGAGGTGGGAAAAAACAAAGCAAGGATTGGATAAAAAATAAAATGAATGGCCACGTACTTCTTTCACATTTGTGGGTTAATCAGTCAATAATTAACATGATAATAATGAGATGGTTTGTGGTCTCTGCTCTAGTGTGGTGGTTGCGCTCTGAGGGGTCAGGAGAAAAGAGAATTACTTTGATATTCCAAAGTACTATCACAGATGAAACACACACACACACACACACACACACACACACACACACACACACACACACCCCAGGCTTAGTTAAAGTGAAGATTGACTTTTGTTAAAGAAAAATACTGCCCTAGGATATGACTACCTGTCATGAACTGCTTTTAGTTAGAAAGTTTTAATTTCAGACCATCCTATATGGTTACTTTAGGTCTCTGAGTGTGTAAGGCTGCTGGCTAGGCTTCCCGCTGAGCTTGTCAGGTTTAGTTTGTAGCCTTTTTTAGTCCAAAGTATATGATGCTAGGGGAACTCAAGCTTTTGTTATAGTTGATAGGCTTAAATGATTAATGCAAGTAGGAAGCTGTTTTTCCAGGAACTGGAACATGTGACCTGTGTGACTCCAGGGGGTCAGCAAACAATCCAACCTTTGTGCCCCTGGGGGTCTGCAAGAGATGAGATGGTATCTGAGTAGCCATTGTGTTCTTGGGAAGGAATATCAGATAAAGAATTCATCAGATAAAGAATGATTGATCCTTCTCCTTATAAAAAGCTTGGCTTGAGATGAGCTGTTAATACAGTTTTTAGGGTACATAACCTGCCATCTTCCCAGATCACTGGCATCTGAATAAAGTTTCCACAAAGATTCAATCCTTGCTTCTACTTACTGGTTCTGGTAATGACAAGTAGCAATGAATGACAACTTTTCTGGTTTCATGACTGGAGTTTGTTATTGTTTGACTCCATATCTTTGCTGCTTCTCTGTGTTGACTCCATATCCCAGAGGTGCTTTATCTTCTCAAAGGGAATAGCGAAGGGAAGAAGAATTTTTGCATTCTTCGATGTGAACAAACCTTAAATTAAGCTTTGCCTGGTATTGGAAACGTGATTCCTCTCTAGGAGACTGCGTCCTTGAGAAGCATTTTTATCTGTGAAAGACAAGGAAAAGAGCCCTGGCCCTGGTGTTTGATCAGGTTAGGAGGGAAGTCTACATTGTTAGGTGCTTTCCTTTGACCTCTAGACTCCTGGGAGAGAAGAGCACAGGTGCTTTCACCATGAATCTAATAACACTAGAACTGGAAACTCTGAAGTCATTAAAAATAAATGCAGAGATCTGGGCCCCTGCTGAAGCTGGAAGCCTAGAGTGGATAGTTTTGAGAATATCATTTATGGCATTTTGATTATGCAAACCCAGATCCAGGAATTGGGAAGTGAGGTCAAAAGAAGCTAAATTGATCTGTGTGATAAGGTAACAGGAATTTCCTATTTCTTCTGGTGGTCCCAAGGAAGTTTTCAAGGATTTCTGAATTTGGAGGAGTGGAGAAAGGGAAAATACAGGCAAGAGGAGAGAGAAGAGGCTGTAGCACAAGAGAAATTAAAGCTGAGATTCAACCAGGAATAGATACTGGGATGAGAATGGTCAGGAATGTTGCCAGCGAGCTTTGATGTTCATCTGTAAGTTATTTCCTCTTCCGTGCTCTGAACTCCCCCTTAAACCTGCAATAAATCTGGTACTCATGTCAACACGGTGCATGTGATGACCTGCAGCATGGGGAAGAGAGCCTGTGTCCACACTGAAGAGGACAGTAAGCCCAGGAAGGGTGA